TTTAATATATAAATTGAAGAAAAAGAGAAAGATGCAAAAGTGAATGCAATTTAAAATTTAAATTAATTTATAAATTGAAAATTAATTATATATTAAAACAATAATAATATTAATTGAAAATATATTAGTAATATAGTTTCTTCTTGACTCGTTGCAAAGATGTTTTTGGTGATCATTTCTCTCTCGAAGATATGGAGAAAAGAATTGCTGAAACGAATCAGTATTTTGGTGGAAATAAACATTTTAAGGTTTGCAAATCCGAAAATTCGGCACTAACTTATAGGATGCTTATTATTTGATAAATTCTCAATAATATGCTAATCTGTTCTTTTTTTCTTCATCTTTATCATTACTCTTATCACAAGAAGAATTTTAAAATGCATAACATACATGGTCTATTAGATTAATTTTAATTTTATCTTATAATTTTTGAACTAACAGGCAACAGATGTGATACTATTCAATGGTTCAGATGATCCATGGACCTTACTTGGTATGTGCAACAGTACAGATGTTATTGATGATTATATCATTTGCATTGAAGGTTTTTTTTCATTATTGAATAAATGAATGGATACTATTGAGTTTGCTAGAGAATTTAACAATTTATTGATAATTAAATTAACATTAAAAACTTTGCTTGCAATCTAAAAGATATAAAAGACTATAGAAAGAAAGAAAGAGATGATATTATTTAAAAAAGAAAAAGTGAAAAATGAAATATTAAATGAAAAATTATTGCAGGGACAAGTCATGCAGCTGATATTTATCCTCCAAGAAATTCTGATTCGAACGCCTTGAAGAATGCACAATATAGGATGATACAGATGATAGAAGATATAGTATTGTAATTATTCAGCTAGCTGCATAAATGGTATCCGAATATTTATTTTAAAAATGAATACAAGTTATTAATTCGATCAATTACATCTCAAATAACCTTTAACCTTTTTTCAACAATTCTCGAGGAAATTTCAAAATTCATATTCTCATGAATAAGTTACAGCTGTTTGAAAACTTTTGGATAAAGAACCACATGATTGAAGCATATTTAACAAATTATAATATATTTAAAGTTCCAGCAAAGAAATTTGAATCGTATCCTCCTAAAAGAAGGATATATTCAATAAAGAAGATATTACATTAAATTAGAGATCCAAAGATATATTCGATCCGATTAATATAGCGCTAAAGAAAATAGAAAAGAGAAAATATGTCGGAAAATTAGATTAATGGGACAAGTTCTATCCAAAAATTCAAAAAATAAATAAATAAAATGCTGGCGACAATATAAATTTGCTTTCTTAAATATTTATTATATATCAGTTAAATTCTTAAATTAATTTGTAGTGAGGAGGAAAAAAAAATAAATATTAACTGATATCAGTTATTTATTGAAATGAACTATATACTATACTATATATACATATATCCTATAACAATTGCGCTTTTAGCTTATGATATAAAGCGCTCAAAGTAAACTTCATGAGAATATCTATTATTATGATAATAAACATTGAGAGAAATATTGTTTATACAAATGCATTAATGTGTGTACTTACTTTCCAATATCATCGATCATTCTTATCAGTCAACAAAAAAGATTTCATTGGCGCATTTTGTGCACTATGGCTTTGTCAAATAGCATCTGTCTCTTTTTTTAACGAACACTCCATTTAACTAACTGTCATTTTATTTATGTCTATCTCGCAATTGAAAATCAGTAATGTCTCACAAAAATTAAAACAACTCCTTTTTTTTTTTGTTTAAACTTTATCAATTTTAGAAGCGTTTAGTTACCACCAGTCGTTTTTCTCATCACTTATCACTAATTGCTAATTATTGATAGATTTTAATTTATCAAATATTGATTTATAAATGTTTTTAATGAGCTATAATTTATTGCAAAATATTTATTACATACTTATAAAGCTGTTCAATGATATTTTCTATATTTCTCTTCTTTATATTCTATATTTATATTTATATATTCTGCTGCTCTATGATATTTTTAAATGGTAGCCTTATTGTGATAGCATAAATGATTTCATGTATAAATGTTTTTAGTTATTTATTTAATCTTTTATTTAAATTAATTTTTTTAAAATTATATTTTAGGATAATAGAAAGATAAAGAAGTCTTCAATAAAAATCGATTTTATTTTATGACCATTTATTTTTTATATTTTAATGTTTTCTTTGGAAATGGATTTTTATAAAATTTTTTTATTACTATTTTTATGATTTAAAATTAATTTGGAGTTAACAGTACTGTAAATATATAATTAGATTTTATATTAGTTCTTTGTGATTGTGCTATATCGTTGTCGTATATTTTCTTATAAACAGGAAGAGAATCCTTTTTTGATTTTCTAAACTGCTCTTTTTGTATGAGAATTAAACTTAATATTAGTATAATTCATCGTAAGACATAGCGATCTGTCTTATAATATTAGTTTAATTCATTGTAAGATAAGGAGATCTGTCTGGTAATATTAGTTTAATTCATTGTAAGATAGAAAGATCTCTCTCTTGTAATATTAATTTAATTCATTATAAGACAAGGCGATCTGATCTATCCCGTATATTCTTTGTTTTTATTAGAATTAGTACGAAAGGTTAATATTTATGATTCTTTTGTTTTTATAAATTTGTCTTTTTTTTTAAAATTTCATTTTGTTTTCGTTTTTAGTACTTTTTGTTATGTATTTTATTTCTTTAATTTTCTTTTTCATAAATATTATTTAAATTAATTAAGTTAAAATTTTATAAGTTTTCGTTGATGTTTTCATAAAATTCACCTCTTTAGTGATGCCAATTAATTATTAATTAGTTTATTTAAAAAAAAAGAATTTCAAAATGAAATATATAAATGAATCATAAAGGGATTTGTAATAATAGTATAATCCTATCTGTCTCTTTCTTTCATTTTATTCGATTAGTCACACTCTTACAATCTGTATCATACCAGTTAAACAAAATAACAGTTTTAACAAAATTTTGGATGAAATTATTTCATTGCTTCTTTCTTCATAATTTTGTAAATTTACACACTTCTTCTGATGATCGATCATTTTGTAAAGAAATTTCATCGTATAATGATGATGCGTTTGGTTGTGTGTGGAATTTGAATGGGTACAAAATAATTTTATATTATATACTGCATTTCAGAGTTCAAATTTATCGATCAAATTAGGTAAGATTAATGAGGAAAACTCATGGAAGGCACAAGTCAATACATGAAACGTCAAGATACGGCGATAGCAAATGTAAGATTCGTTTTCTTCTTTTCAACTATACTATAGTATGAGAAGTTGACAGATGACGAAATGCAAACTACTTTCAAATGAAATTGAATAATGTATGAAGTAATTGTTACAAATGAATAAATTTTAGTAATTAATATCAATCTTTCAGAGGGTAATTAAAATTTTCGAAATATCCAAAATGCATAGTATCTCAATTCAGCGTATATGTAATTTTACTTTCCAACTATATTTATCGTTTCCGCTATTTAAATTTCGATTCGATGAATTGAAATTTTAATAGCGGGAAGGATAAATGTGAGTGTCAGTTATCCCTTATTAATTAATAGCACACTTTTTATGAAATTAAATAATATAAGATTTATAATTTCGCTTATATACTATCATCTCAATTATATCATTTCTTTTTAGTAAAAAGCAAAAAAGAGAAAGGATGAATATTTCCTTTAATAATATTACTAATTGACAGATCATAAATTCATTGCTATGAGATGAATCATTTGTTTTGATAAGATAACGCTTCATAACAATTTTCACAGCTATTATCAGCATGATTTGATGATTATTAGAAATATTATCAATCATTTAAATGCGAAATTATATTTGTAAAAAATCGATATAAATAGATCAGTTATAAAAAGTTTTAGATTATCATAAAAATTGGAATGTATTGCGTACAATTATGAAATTCACACATGAATGAATGAATGAATGAATTACACACCTACACACATCCATTATTTCACATATATGTCCAATATATATAAAGGAATATTGAATGACAGAGTAGAACAACTGCAAGTGATAGTTGCAATTTTCAACATTGTAGTGCAAATATAGTCGTAATTGCAGCAGCAGCAACAGCAGCATCATCAAATCGACACAAAAGAGGAGGTAATCGTGCTCTTTCGGTTGGTTCCCGACATCGGTCACTTCATCCTTTAATATTAACATCACCGATGCCGCTTTTTCAAGGTAATTATTAACAAAATTTCAAATAAATTAGTATGAAATTTCCCTCATCTTCATTTCATATATCAGCAATTTCAACATTTTAAATTTCATTCAACGAACATTTCAAATGGCAACTATGATCAATTACTATTCTTTTCCTTCCTTTCCTACTTTTAATCTTTCTTCTTCCTCTTCTCTTTTATTTACTCTACTTCAATTCATTTATCTATTTCATTAATTCATCCTTTCTTCTCTTTTTCTCATTTCTTTAATTCTTTTCCTATTTTCTAATCCAATATTTTTCCACTCTTATTTCTATTCCATTCTTTCAACAAATTCATTTTCATTTTAATTAATTGATTAAATTTTATTCAATTAAAAAAATCACTGTACTATACGTTAAGTAAAATAAACTTTGCTACCCGTGAAGAGAGAGAGAGAGAGTATTTATGTTTAAAATTTATTACGAATAGAATGAAAGAATCACTCACTCATTTCTCTATTTGTTACACATTTTAGCAATTCATTTTATTCCTCTTTCTAATGCTATTATAATTGTATTCATTTCAATTTATTATATTATACTTATTCAGGTATGAATAATCTTACCTGATATTACAACTTTTCATCATCTGTCATTATAATAATTCATCATTTTCATTCTATACAGTATCATGAAGCATTATCACTTTTTTTATACATTGATTCTTAATCAGTGATCATTTTTGTTATTAGAAACGTATTAATAGAAATACAAGTAAAAAAGCGTAAATCTAGAAGATTATGATCAGAGAATACATTTGCTATTTTTGCACTACTTCTGCAAAAATTGATAAATGATAAGTGGCAACTTAAAATCCTAGACTATATCATTCAAACTATTCATTATCTCTATATTATCAAAGCTGTCAACAATATTCATGTAAATGAATTACACAATAAACTATTGCCAATTTATCTTTCATTTCATAGTGATTCTGTCATTATTCCTTATTGTTGTTTTCTTTGAGCATAGCTGTTGATAGCTGTTGAGGAATGTAATTAGAAATTGAAATTTTAAATACTTGGCTAGCCATAATTGCCCAATAACTGTTTTTGAATCCAGAAATGGAAATCAAGAAGCGCAAGTGAGGAATGAAAGTGTATACTTAACGGCGATAATAATTATATCAGACATTAATTATATCAGATAGTATCACAGATGTGTGATGATAATGCTACAAAACGGAAAAGCAAAAGTTATAGTGAAGAGTAAAAGGGGAAGTAGGAATTCGGATGAAGCATCCTGCAAATGCTACTGCCAAGATGGCAAACGAATTAGCTATCCATACGGCTGGATTAGTACTATTACTACTACTACTGCTACTAATAATACCGCATCTATTGAACATGATGATTTCATCGGTTTGTTCGTTTTTCTTTTATAATGAGTCAGTACCATATAAAATAACCTTTTCCTTGAAAATAGAAAGGGCAATCAAATTAAATGTGCCCTTTTGCAGATGAGTCGTCGCAGTCGACTGCAGAAGGCCGTTGTTCATCAACAGTAAAATTAGGTCACACCGAACAAATATCCTATCAGGCAGTACATCCACTTGCAATGAGACGTACCGAAAGTCAAACATTGGAAAGGAAGCCAAGTCCGTCTATCTATCCATCTCATATCTCCGATCCTAATCATATGCGCTTCACGATCAAGCAAATTACAGTTTGATTGCAACTCGAATATGAGCCTTGAAATTATTACAAATCGTTTAAAGGATTTGAAATGGGAAGAGTTATGGGCATGATCATGTTAGGGTTCAAAGAACTAGGAAAAACTTTAGAAGCTAAATTAAATGGATTAATTTGAGGTTCGCAGAGAGATACTTTTTGAGAGTAGAGTGCAGGAAATATGCTAAATTCATTTTTTCTGTATTTTATTTGCATGATTGTATTGTTTTTCTACCTGATAATATGTTTAAAAAAATCTGTTAATCATGCCCTAATCATTAATGATGTGTGAATTGTGTAAATATTGTTTCAGGTGTTTCAACTCAAGTACTGAGTGCTCTTATTGGAAATTCAGGAGGTAGTACATATAGTCGAACAATGGGTAAAGTTATGCGAGTTCTTGTAAGTATTCTTTTACAAAAGTCCTAACACAACATCATTAAGAGTATTTCGATGTGATTCTTCTAGCAAAGCTTTAGTTTCTCTTAGTATGTCATAATGATATATTATACTTTACTATTTATTTATCATCCATCTATCACTGCTCCATTGTAATGTGAATTAAGATTATATATTTAGAGTGAAGTGGAGAATTAGAAGGCACAGGAAATAATAAGGCTAGAAGTAGTGATTTGTTTGTTTATAGGTAGCCGGATCGAAAAGGGTGGGAAAAACTGCATGCTTAGAACAACTGGCTTGTCTCAGTGATATCACCGATCAGGTTTTTTTTTTTTTTGCTTTTGTAACTTTTGATAAATTCAATATTATTCGTAAATAAGTTTCTTCCTTGTCGATTTTTGTTCAGTTAAATTTATCGTAAGTGAAAGTTTGTTGATAATATATGCACTTTACTGCTATTGAAACATTTTACCATTTACAATATATATTTTAGCCTTATGTACCTACGATTGAAGACACATATCAAGTGCAGATGGATTATGGAGATCGGCCTAAAGAAATTATGGTTTTTCACGATACGGCCGGAATTAGTGAGAGTGGCCCAATTGATCTCAAGCGATGCTACATTCAGGTATGCTGCTTGTCTTTTATTCTTCCAATTCATTTATAAAATTCTTTCATGTCATCCTCTTCATAGCCGTTTGAATTATCCGATGACATTTTGTCATGGCTGCTCTTTCACTAATGTATACGACCTATAAATGAAATAATTCTTTCCTGTTACATCGACCTTTCTGAATCGAACATTGTAATGCAGGTAGCGGACGCATTTTTGTTAATTTACTCGGTTGTTGACCACGAAACGTTCAATAGAATGGATATGTTGAAAAAAACGATCGACAAACAGTTTGGTAAAGATAAGAAGGAGGTGATTCCTCGTTTATTTCGCAACTTTCTTGCATTTAGTGGTAACTGTTGTTTTGATCATTTTAGGTGCTGGACCGGTTTGATAGTTTTAGATGCTGGGCCGTATAATCGTATTGTTGAAATGTTTTATGACATTTCAATTTTCAGGTGCCCATAGTTGTTTTGGGAAATATGACTGATCTTCCAGGCAGAAAAGTTGATAGTGAATTCGCGCGGAGTTGGGCTACTAAAGAAAAAGGTTGTTATAGCTTCCATATATTTCACATCACAACTTCTTTTGCAAAAGTAATCACTCTTATGGTTATTTAAATTTCGCTCTCTTCTACTTGAACTCAACATATATGTAAATTTTTCAGTAAAATTATATGAAGTAACTGCAAAGAATCGTAATACATTGGTTGATTTAGTGATCTATTTAGGAAGCCGACACTTTCACTCACAGCGTAAGTTCTCGCTTATAAAAATATTTTATACTTTGAACCAATTTTTAAAACCTATAATGGAGGGGATGCAATCGACATATATTTCAAATTTTGATATTAGAGTCATCCAAAGGATCTCTCAAAATCTTATTTATCTCATTGTCCGATAAGATATCCTTCTGGATGCGGTATTTTCGGATACTCATTTAAATGGATAGATTGATATTTGAGACAGATTTTATGCTAGTTAAATTGGAAATCATCGAAAGTATTTAATAGTTCGCTTCATTTGCAGGGGAATCAAAATTTTCTTTTTCTAAGAAGCTGAAAGCTGAAAAATCTAACACTGCCATAATGATGGATTTATGAAATTACCATTGTGTTTTATATATTAATGTTGACTCACGAAAGCTCCACTTATTCAACAGAACTTAAATATCACTTTCTTAAAGGAGTCAGATCTGCAAATATTTTCGCAGTCTCGAATATTTAAATCGATTTATTATAACTGTGTGTTGTCTGTACTTAGATATATGTTTCAGTTCTTTGAGCACACTATCGTTCCTAGAAAATTCAAGGTCAAAGTCTTTTGCTAAGGAGTCTTGCACTTACAAGTATTAAAAGAAATAAGATATTTTAGTTTACTTATTTTTATAAGGGAATTAATAAAGTTGCTTATAGGATGACAGTCTACTCATCGATTCTTCCATATCCCTGTAGTTATAGATTGATTACGAATTATCTATTCTGTGTTAAGAAGTGTGATTCATCTGTATCTCTTTCATTTTTCACAATTATTAATTCTTTAACCATTTCACTGTCATTTTCCTGTTTCTCACTTTGCCATATGTTTGGCATGTTAATAGTTGTAAACTGCCAATTATTGTATATAATTTTTCATTATTTACAGTAACATTAAGGATTTCAGATGATCTAATTTGAAGTTATTTTGTTACAATAAATTCTCATTTGTAAATATTGTTTTTATTGCCATGGAATATTCAGCAGAGATTGTTTATTTAATTCATCCTTATATTAAAAGCAGCTAATATCAGCTTCCTGCAAAAACAAAGTCTGTTCAATGACCGACATCAGAATGCAAATATAAATTGAAAGGATTAAGGAGCTAGGTATCTTGCTACAAATAAAACATTATCGAGAAGGTGTGATTATCATTAATATACGTGCTGTTTGGAATATGCTATAAAAGGATGGCAAGTCAATGCTAGTTGTACTTTAAAGTCTTTAATTCGTAAAATGGAATTCAAAAGCTGCAAAGTGTTAAGTATCTGATGTCTCAAATTCATGAGTCGATGAAGACTGATGCAAGTAACAGGAAATATCTAGCACTACAAACTAAAGATTTTCATGGTACTCCAGTTGATTGAAGTAGTGAGAAATCATCGCATGTTTCAATATTTGAATAAGATTTTATAATTCTATTTGAATCAGGTATAGTCAGATATTCCAATAGCTTATGGGAATATTAGCATATCTATCTTAAATTTTCGTTCACTGAAAATAAACTTTGAATTATAAATTGATTACATAATGCATCATGATGCATCATGAAAATAAAAGCAGATATTATCAGAATTTAAGATATATTAATGTAGGATTGATGTTTCAATTATTATCAGAGATGCTCGATCACCACAACAAATCCAACTGCCAATCTTATAATGCATTCTGATAATAATTTAGATCAATGTTTTCTGTAATCACTTTATCTATCTGGTTTATGTGAATAATAAGTTGCTTTATTGATTGTATGGAAAATGCTATTATCCACTTTTTCCTTTATTTTCGAAAGAATAAATAAAAATTTTAACAATGAGCATAGAAATGGTTTAATCTCAAAATAACTAATGAATTAAAAGAAACCCGTGGATGATAAATTGGGGGTCTGAAGTGGTTAAAATTTTTGAGACAACCAAAACATACCAAACATGAATACAAGTAAGTTACAGTAATAAACAATTAGTTATTTCTTTGTAAACAACAAATGGAAATAGTTGAAGTTCAATCGAAAGACCAATCATAGTAATGAGTAATTAAATTACTCATTAATTATGGGAACGTAGAGAATTTAGTAGCATGTGAAAACGATCAACGTTCGACAATTCCGTTGTAATGAAATGTGAGTGCGACATTTTGATTTTATAGAGTTTCAGTTCAGGCGCTTTTTACTTCCAAATATGGAATTCTTCAGACGCTGACCCAATCCACCACGTTTGTCTACTACTGCTAAAATTTGAATATTATATAATTTATGTATGTATGTAGATGTAATATCATTTATCAAAAGAAATGATTTTGCACCATTGATGAGTTCTTGAAAAGTATCAAATTTAAATTTCCATCATATAAGATACTCAGAGCAATAACAAATTTGGATCATCAACTTACCAGAGGATATGGTAGTGTTCATGTCTTGTACAATATGCTTTTTCCCCTGACAGTGAGTCAAACTATTACTTTTCATCAAAGGTATCGGTCTAGTTGGCATTATTTCACTAGCAACCTGAAATATACCACAATCTTACAGTTCCAGTAATAGAAACTTGACATATATAACTTTTCAACCTCTATCGCTTTTAAAAATGCTGCTCGTGCGAATTTATCGCAACAGAAAGTATTAACCTTGTTGAGTGATACCAATGAGGCAGCACTGATTGGTGGCTTCGATGCACTGATTTTCCGTAAGAATTGACCAATTCGGCTACTTGTCTTAACTGGACCAGATGGTTTATTGGCAGTATTTGATAGTATATGATGACTGCATATCGAGACATTATCAAGTTCACTGCCATGTGAAAAACGCTTCTCATCTGTCTGATATGATAATGCAAGATAAGAATTTATTGATGTAAAATATACGCATATAAAATATAAATCTCTTCATTTTTATTAAATTGATTCACAGCTTACCTGGATATTATCATAAAAGCCATCATCTTCGTCATCCAAACTAGGTGCCTGAGAGGAAACTGATTGCTTTGCAGGTATCGCTACTCCTCGATTATTTGATGTTGTATACGATGATTGCGCACCTAATGATGAACCAGATGAATAGTAACCACCTGTCTGAGAGGAGTTTGTGGAACCTGCAATAATTGCATCCATTTATCATTTTCGCAAATATGAATCTGCAAAGAAGCGATAGAAAAAAGATTCTCTCGAAAGCTTAGCAATTCAATCTCAGTAATTCTCCAATAACTACTAATCAATAAAGATATAACATGGTATAGTTTAGTCATTCATTGGAGTAAAATTTAATTCCAAAAAGCTAATATAAAATGTAATTAATTTCTGATACGAATATTGACCTGGTGGATGAGGTGGTGGATGAGTTACAGGAAATGCTGGAATGAAGTCAAGTCGAGATGGTACTGCTGGAAGACGTGGCTTCGTTTGAGAAGTTGAACGAATTGTCGAAGAAGATTGCTTTCCTAATGATTTGGCAGGTACAGGAATGAACTGAAAATGTCATTTATTTCCATTTATTATTCATTCTTGATTAATTTTCAAAAAATTCTACAAATTTTCCACCATTTCTACTACTTCTTAATTTACATATCGCTCGTTACATACCTCTTTTCGATGAACAAAATCATTGATTTCGTAATAATTGTCATCATCTTTAACATTTGCAGTTGATTGAACATTATCATTGTTACCGTTAAAAATATTACGACGCCATACTGGTACACCTGTAAAATAAGGATGAAAATTTTTTGGACGAATCGAAAATGCGGAATAGATTGAAGAAAGAAAAAACACTGCAGCCAGACTAAAATCATCTAACTGGAGCAAAAAAAGGTGAAAAAACCAAAAATGGATATTCCGAAAATGAAAATGAACAAAAAATGAAGCAAGCTTATAAAAGAAGAACAACAATGTCATCTGAAGAAGCATCCTATTATCAATAAAAACCATGCATTAAGATATATCTGATTAAAAATTGTAAACCTTAAATATAAAATTAAATTGCCATTGACTAGTAATGAATATATAAAGCTATTAAAGAAGTTTATTCAATTAAAATAGCATGAAGCAATCTGTCATTAATTATCATTGATCCAATAATATCACAATGATGCCAATTTTATTTTGTAATCATCTCTTTCTCTTTTCCATTTATCAATAATTTCAACAAATACTGATGTGAACAAATTTAAAAATATGCTACCATTTTGTGGTATCACGCTGTTACTCTCTTATTTTAATATTTGCAGTACCTACCAGATATCAAATTCGAGAAGGTTAGACTTAGTCTGAAATATGGATGAAGTAACACGCACTTACACAAATGTAATAATGCTAAAAAATAGAAACAAATTTTGCTCGACTATTAAATTAGACAGCTGACACTATATAATGATAGAATTATGATACAACATTCTGAGATTTGATATAATTTCTGATATCATTACCTACAAATTAAAAAACGATTGAGAAAGAATGAATGAGGCCAAGTAATATAATAATTGATAGTAATAATATTCCTTCTAATAAGAATAGTTTGTTGAAGAGGAAGAGAGAATGATCTTATGAAAAAATTACATTGTTTATTCTCGAATATAGATTGCATGGCTTCCACTTTGCTTGGATTCAACTTCTCCTGATTGATTGTTTCAAATGGAGACAATGGTGAATTATTATTCTTCACTCCCACATCTATAAAATTATATTTAGAACTCTATAAATTCTTCTAACTGCTATAGATTAGATGTGAAATTATATTGATGAAATACTTACGCACATATTTACGACTTTTGGGTAGTTCATTTAAAGTTGTGACATCACTGATGACACTTTGAAGCATATTTGACATCTCGTTAAATGAATCTTTTAGTTTCTGCGGTTGCTGACGCTGCTTACGACCAATATTGTGTTCCGATCTATAATTATACAAAGTACTTTATAAATATTTATTCTAATCTAGAAACTTAACCTTATCACTCCAAAACATAACCTTTAATTAACTAAACTGTATGACATACTTTGTCTTAGCAAATGATTGAATATTGCTATCTTCCATTTGTTGGCTACTATTTGGCTTCTCGTAATTACTAGCACGACGCACAAAAAATTCATTACCAGTTGGAAATGAACGCCGCTTGGTAGCTATTGATGTCTGAAATGTTTGCTAAATTGAAAAATAGATCAAAGCTTATTTGAAAATATTATTTAAAGAATAATATTATAATTTAATTATAGGAATAGTTAATGCTAATAATCGCTTGCTTCTCAAATCAATTGCTTCAGCTAACGATCAATTCATATTTTTATAAGAAAATAAATAGGAAAACATGAGCCACATATTTTAGCGTTTCATCATATAACAAAGAAGACTACCTGATCGGTGTTCAGTTCCAACTCCGCAACTAATGCATCAATCGTTACGATTGGATTTGCATTCTGCAGAGTTTGAAGTCGAATGCTAGATGAATCCGGTAAACTGGCCACTGAACCACGTATTGTCATAATGCTTGATGGTTGCACTGGCGTAAATGCGCCCGTTTTCCGCATAGAATGTTGAACTTCTTCAGATCGAGCACTACTCAATGTATTATAATGCGAATCCTAAAGTCCGCTTTTATCCCTCACTTTTTTTGGCAATTTATATGATCGATTAATTAAGTATATTAATTATAAAACTGATCTGCAGCGATGCATGTAAGGAAAATATTATCAATCAGGAAAAAAAATTACATGAGATGCCGATCTCCACGATACTGCACCAGAGTCACGATTTTTTTGCTCTGATATTCGACTATGTGATGGAATCCTTTGTGATAGAGTCTGATTACTATTTATATCATAATTACTTGCCCTGAAATGTTAGCAGATATTGATATGCTTGCAAAAGAAAATTTATCGCTTATCATTTCATTTGAATCAGTCTTTTATGATAATTTCTCCCTCATTTTTAATAAAGAATTGTAAAACTGAAGAAGTACATTGAATAATACGAACCAAACGTTACTATCATGAAACGATCGAGATAAATTGCTAAAATTATTTAGATTTCCAGTACTTCCGGTTGGGAAGGTGAACGTAGGATGCGCCTTTACTGGTAGTGGTTTAATTGGATCGCTTTGTTGGACATACTGACGACCACTACCACCACCACCACTACCACATTTACGTATGGAATGATCCATTTGATGACCATTTGATTGCCTGCAAAAAGATTGAATTAAGGATGATGGAACATTATGACGTTATAGTGGGAAGAAATTAATTGGATAACATTGCTGAAATTATTGAAATGATTAATGAGAGGAATATTCAATAAATTGAATTGAAACAAATAGTTCTAATAGTCCTTACCTTACATATTTAACTTTGGAAGTAACATTTTGAATAAGATCCGGTACATCTTGAGCTTTTTTCTTCTTTCGAACTATTGAATTGATTGCTGCTACTTCCGCTGAACAACTTCCCAGCGAACGTTCATCAATATCAGGTTCCTGAGGCAATTACTAACAGCTACAAAGCTTATCATATCATCAGTTTTACATTCCTACACTATTTCTAATTATTTTAGATATATATCCTGAGAAATCCCAAATTTTCATTTTCACTTATTATAATATGCTGCTAATTTCCATCTTTACCTGGGAAATATATGAATGTGAACCAAGAGAATGATAAATTTAGAAAAGTGATAAAAAGTGATAAATTCTAACTTCTGTTTTTTTCTTTCAAGAAAGCTGTGATATAATTTTCTCCATTCAGGCATATTTACAATTAATATTTTTTTTATAAATGTCTAACAATAATCAACTTCTTATTTAAAAACTAGGAGGAATCTTTAGCTTAGATTTAAATTAGAAAGTCTAGTTCTGGGGAAGATGGCAAAGGTCATTGGGACCATAACAGATTTCAGGTTTTCTGCTTTTATAAAAATCTGCACATATTTCTTCTGATTTCTCTATTTCCTCTAAGTGCATGAGAAATCGATTCTATTTTCCATGATTATTTAGCAATTAATTATCATCGCATCAAAGAATGACTAGAACATCAAAGAATGACTAGAACATTTATATGATGATAAACAGTGAATCTAAGATTAGTAACTTTTTAGGAATGTTTTTTTTTTAAGAGTACTTCGTAATTATATGATCCGACGAATATTATTAGCATAAAGATCCATTAGCATTTCAATAATCTCAATGTTACAACTAATTTCATCAGTTGCGATATTTGAAAAAATTGATTACATCTTTTCGAGAAATTCAAATATGATCTATTTTTTTGATGTTGATCATTTGTAAATTTTCTACGATCACTTAGTATAATTTTATAAGTAAGCGATGAATGAAATTTCATAGCCAACATGTTTCCAAAAAACAAATGGAATTCTCAATTTCTCAATGTACTTATTATCTATCCGGAATAGATCAGGAAAATATTTCTATTCCGTTTATTTTATTAATGAGCAGATTAAACGTGGAACAACTTTTTTCACAGTATTTCACCTCGTTTGCATAAATTGAGAATCATAGTATTTCATTTCCATATACGTCTACATAAATTGAGGATAGATAATTAGATGCCCTGTTGTAGACCTGGTATAAAAAAATCTCATAGGAAAAATTTCATAGAAAAGATAAGTAAGTTAATTTTTATTTACAACATTCTATCGATGTAAAGAAGAAGTTGAAATAGTTGTATACAGTTTAAGGAATACTGTATTATAAGAATGTCAAAATTGCCACAATAGAATTTTTAGAGAGGATATGTCAAAGAAATCTTTAACGTAAAAATTGGGAAAACATATACCTCTTCTATTCCACCAACGATTAAATCGGGTTTTGAAACCCATGATTTGATATCTCCAGTAAGCCATCTCCTAGTGTAATTCATCCTTTCACTTTTAAGTTTACGATTTTGTAACGGTAGCACAATTGTTTCCGTAATATCAATATCATTTGATGTCTGTTCAACTGATGCAGCTTTTTCTTGCAGGTAGTGCTTTTCGGCAACCTAAAAAAAGCATTTCATTTAGAAAAATTACTAAAAAAAAGGTATAGTATAGATGGATTTATCTGTTCTATAACTTAATATATGGCCTGATCTTTGACCCCAAAACTATATCATAATTTCATTTTGTTTCTTTTTCTATCAAAAATCTGTCGGATAAAAATTTCTTATTTCAGAAATTTGTTGACTAAAGTTTTCAAAACTATTCAAATGATCTGTTTACCCTTGGCTTAGATGTATACAACGAATGCCTATTGGTAGTTGCAAGTGGCGCTTGTCGTGAATCCATCTCTTCCACATCAACAATATTGTTCATCGTTCGCTTAGTATTACTGCAATAGTTCAAATTGTATATTTTACATTTGATGCATTTCATTTCAATTATCATTTTCTTTTAGATATCCTTAGACATTATTTAGACATATTATTTGGATTTATTGATATCATTGTGCATATTTCTGATAAGCTATACGAAAGGAATGATATCACAAAGGAATGATATCACAAGGAATGATATCACAAAACACTATGAAAACTTATTTACCAATTATATCTTTAATTTTGTATAAAATGAGGATAAGATGAAAAGAGGAAGTAAAGCAGTAATAACGGATATTTGTCGTCCATTCCTAGTTCAATTGGCAGCTTAACACGATCTACTGTAGGATATAAATATACGATTTTAATTTCTTTGTCATCATAAAATTATATAAATTGAAAATAAAATACAAAAATACTACAGGGGAAATTAAACGGTTACCCATTGCGTTGCTGCAGCTTCACTGGTGATGATGATACAGTGACATTCATCAAATCTGTACCACTCTTTGAAGATCCTTTACGAGTTGGTGTCGTACGAATTCCACGCGATCGTTGCGTGTTTTCTATCTGCAAAATTTTCAGATTATTATATAATTGTTTATCAAAAATGGGAAGAACTGCTAAATAGACAGTAAAATGAGTACTCAATACCTGATCGCTCTCTTTCTTCAGATCTTCGAATACCTGATCCAAATAATCAATAGCTTCTTTAAATTTATTCCTATGTTGATGATGCCTATATCGACCCTGATCAATCATCTGATCCAATTGCAGCGCTGTTGTTTCCAAAGTACCACTGCAATGCACACATTTCTTCTTATTTGAATTATTTTTCATTTATTAAACTGTCCCATATCATGTGTATTTTCAACCAAACACCATAATTAGCTGTATATGAAGGAAAGAGATATTACCATTCAGAATAACATCACTTTTCTCTGTTAAATTTTGGGACCATTCTATTCCCTGAAGGAATTGATGAAGATTATATCAATGAAGTGATGATAATAATTGTGAAGATTATAGCAATGAAGTGATGATAATAATTGTGATATAGATGACTAACAAGACATATATATATGTAATATAAAGAGAAAAAAATTTTCTGCTTACCCATCACTATCAAACATTTTGACTAAATGAAAATCTATCGCATAATATTATCGTAATCAAATGCTTTTATAAATGGGTTATAAAAAATTAATCATTTTACTTCTAAGTGATAATAAAAAAATCAATAATTCTAAGTGATAGTAAAAAATCAGTCCTTCCTGAAATGTCACCTAAAATACTACATGATAAATTTTCGTTACACAAGTAACATTTCATAGGATCAAAGTTAAATAATTTTCACAAACATGAGAATGCACTTTATTCAACCTTTCCAAATCTATTATTCATTTTTTTGCTGTAAATTACTTAATTATATACTTAATTACAGAGAAATTACTTAATTATAAATTACTTAATTATAGCAAATTACTTAATTAATTATAGAAATTACATTTTTCTGCTGTAAATTACTTAATTATAGAGAAGTGATAATGAATAAATCAAAGATAAGATAACAAGAAGGGAAAAAATATAAGAATTTTCTTTTTCAGCAAAAAGAAAAATGTAATATCAAGTAAGAAATTTTGCAAGTATTGAATAGTTTAGTAATGATGAAGCGAAGCGAAGTGAAATAAAATGAGAGGAAGACAAAATTTGTAAAGGATAATTTGCTAGTGAAAATGAAATTCCTTCTCAATGAGAGCTCAACACTTCTTCCGCTCCTTACATTTCTATCGTTATTTACACAATCTGTCAACAATTTGTAACGATATCACAATCTTATAAACTAATCAAAAAGAGGAAAATTATTATTGGGAATTAATAAAACTTGTAATACGATAAAGATAAGTTTTAAAAACGATAATGAATTAAGTTATTAACTTCAGAAATAATAGGAAACTTTTGAATAACTGGTGAAAAATTTTCTTCAAAAAAAATTAAATGTTGTTAAATTCATTGCAATATTCACGATATCTCGATAAACTACTATAGATTTAATGTTTTCCTAGTAATTACATTTCTATTCTTATCATTTCTATCTCGCGAAAATCTCACATTTTAACATTTCTTTTTCATCTTATTACGATTAATCATCATCTTCATTTATGTATTCATGCCTTCCACCCCCATAAATATTGAATCACTCAGTGAACAAACCTGTTGTAAGAATCAATACTAGTTGTTGAATGACGTCCATTTCCGTCGATTCGAGTAACCGGTATGTGTGCTGCATAACGTTCATGTCGTGGTTGCGCTGCTGCTGCTATCGCAGCCGTGAAATTTGACGTTAAAGACGAACCTGTAATTGATGATAGTGTTGACTCAGCACTAATCAAAATTATATCAATATTATTACCCAATTTGCATTCTTTCTCAAGTTGAATCTATACTTGAATCATAATATTGCTCAAATTACACCAATACTTAATCTATATCTATCTCGAATTGACTTAAATTACTTAAAATATCAAACTTCTCAACTACACGAATATGTGTAAATATCACAATGACTGTTGAAGCAGCATTACTACTACAGCTAGAAATTGATATCAAGTACATCAAACTTTTACTATTATCAGTGAATAAATGATCCATTCTTTCACCGATCACTTTTTTAATTGCTAAGTAACAATTAATTATATTCAGGTGAATTAATTATATTCAGGTGTAATTTTTGCTTTATCGAATTAAGAAATTACAGCGAAATGAGGATAATTTCGAGTGCTATTATCAAAGTGTAAATTGAATGATTTATAGAAAGCAACTACTTGGAAATAAAACTTTCAATTCTTATCATTACTATCATTAATGAATTATCCCTGACTAACTTCCGACAGGAAGAACATTTACCACTTAATGAAGTTATCAACTCTTATCATCATTATCACTAATAAATTATCGCCGAATAACAAACCTTCAATAGACGAATGTCTACCATGATCGTGAACTTGAAGTTGCATCGTTATGTTCACACTTGTTGTATCCTGCAAACAACAACCGATACTAATACAGTAATTATTATAATAAGATAATTAATTCCTTGTCACGTATATTCCATGAAAACATCATTATTTTATAGAGCTTCGGTTGCATCGTAATTACACAATTTCTTATAATAATTACTCAAATCGAAATAATCAAATGATAACATATTAGTTATTTTGATCGGCTAATGCCACTTTTCAAATTGTAATTGCAATTTCAATTTTTTACTTAGAGGAATAATTTTGTTTTGTATAATTAAGAAATTTTTTTAAGTAATTAAATGATAACACATTGTTTATTAATAATCAAATGATAACATATCAGTTATCATTTAATTTCTTAATTATGCAAAATTATGCAAAATAACTGATATGTTATCATTTGATTACTAATAACTGATACGTTATCATTTGATTATTTAAAAAAAACTTCTTAATTATGCAAAGCTTACAATATATATCATTATATATTAATGATAGAAAAAAGGAAGGATGAAACTATTGAAAAAAGATTTCATCTGCAAGCAATTGTTAGAAGAATAATAATAGAAGGAACATTGCTAATATTTTCAAAAGAAGAAAGAGAGGAAAAGTTGATCATTCTATCTTATCACTAAATAACATTAAGTGATAAGAAAAACGCTAATAAGAGATTGTAATAATAAGAATAAATAATATGAAATAAACAAGAGGATATAACTGAATCACATCAATTTGTTTACTCCAATTTTATTTGTCTTGTTATAATCAACACGAAAATGTCAACAACAATAAACAATTCATGGAAACAATGAAAGAGTTATTTATTTCAATCATTCTTAACAAACATTTGAGAATTCTCTTATTGAAAAATATTTTCATTATCATATTAATTTTGTTTTTCTTTTTTTATTGATAAAATTCATGTTTGGGGATTAAAGAAAAATGAATAGACCGATGGATCGATGAATGATAGATCGATGGTAGATCGATGAATGGATAGATCGATGGATAGATGGATAGATGAATGGAGGATAGATGGATGGATGGATAGATGAATGGATAGATCGATGGATCGATGGATCGATAGATGAATGGATAGATCGATGGATCGATGGATCGATAGATGAATGGATAGATCGATGGATCGATGGATCGATGGATGGATAGATCGATGGATCGATGGATCGATGGATGGATAGATCGATGGATCGATGGATGGATAGATCGATGGATCGATGGATGGATAGATCGATGGATCGATGGATGGACAGATCGATGGATGGATGGATGAATGGTGAAATTTCTCAAATAAATTTGTAAACTTTCCAATTAACTTTACAATTAAATTGTTAGCTATTTCATTCTCTAACAAAACAAAATTTCCAAATACGATCACTTCAAACATTTCATTGGCTAATAAAATTAATTGTAATGAACTTTTCAAAGTTAACTTTACAATCAAATTGTTTTTTTCTTTTGTAAATACAGGTAAATAATTGCATTTATAAATGGAAGTACTTTTTCTTAGGTATTACTTAGTACGAGAAAAAGAAAGGAAAAGAAGTGTTCACTTTTTCGGCAAGAAAAAATAAAAAGAAAAATGTTCAATTCATTTCAATGATTCATTTCAAATTTATGATTGATGAAATTAAATATTGACTGATATCTGGGAATTTTCAAAAATCATTAAGAACTTTGCCAAAATATGGAAACAGGAAGCAATCTTAAGTTATTTAAAAGAAATGAAATGTTTATTTCAGTTTAATGATCAAATTCGAATTTGTAATTGATGAAATGAAATAATAATTGCCATTTAAAAATTTTAAAACAACACGGTAAATTATCAAAAGCTTATAAATGTAAACAATAAACAATCCTGATTCATCTAATTTGTTTTATGTAATTTGCTTCATTCATTCCAACAAAAAGATCAATAATACATAAAAAGAAAGATTTGCAAATTATCAGAAATGAATCATACAAACTATGGAAAGATAGAAGACCAAAAACGTTCCCGAGAAAGAAGAGACAGCGGAAAAAGATATCAAGTGAAGAAGGGAGGACAAAGAAATGAATGGTGTAAGAAAAGTTAATGAGAAGTAGTTAATACAAGTGTAAAGTGATTAGAAACACTCAAGACCGTATCACTTAGAGTAGAGGAAAGGATAAAGATGACATATCACTGATGAAATAGAGTCTGTTTTGCAAATCCGTATTCACTAAAATGTTAAAGTCAGCTCGAAGAACAAATCTTGTCAGACAGGTGCAGACAGCCGGTTGGTCGATTACTTGCCGAGAATTGTTGTAAATATTCAACTTGTCCATCACATAGCATAACAGGAACAGAACTTCTATTTAGCTTACTTATTCAACAGGAAAGTCAGAGAGAGAGAGAGAGAGAGAAAGAGAAAGAGAAGGAGAGAGGTGATCCGACGATCATTTCCATTCATCATTCACTATTTTTGATGACGAATACTTTATATAACCTGTAGAACTGCGATATCACCATCAGAGAGGGTTGATATTTTACGAAGTTGAAATGCCTGATTTTGTAGTCTTTGTTCGAATGGTGACATTGCAGCATCAAATTCAAAAGATGGCTTCGTTAATAACATCGAACGTTTTGACCTAAAAATAAGGCTATCTTTTTTTGCTTCACTTGCTTGGACAAATTTATTTTTGACTTAAACAAATGAACGATCTATCAACGATCGTTTGGCATATGATGAATAAAGCCCATGAATGTAGAAGTTTATAAGAGATTGGACAAGAAATTGAAACGTATTTGAAATAGTCAAATGGAGGGAAATTAGACAGATGTAAAAGAAATAAGAATAATGATACTTGTCAGCTGCTAAGTTCTTCACTCCATGATAATTTGTGGACAACAATTGTTCTCCGTACGTTCGTACTGCTGTCGAAACAGTTTCCACTTCAACACTACCCAAACGTGAACGACTTGGCACTGTGATATATGGTACTTGACGAGTTGGTTCCAATGTTCGAACTTAATTCAGTGAATTTTTGTAATTTTATATATATATATCTTATTAATACAATAGAGCTAATTTAAAAATTTTCAATAAAGTTCATATCGATGCATTTTCATCAGACTTTCAACTTTCAAAGTTCAAGATTTCAACAACAAATTATTATAGCACAATGTTGATTTTAAACTGAATGATATCATTAATAGTAATCAAAACATTGATGATACTAATATTGCTCTGATTTATGATCAGAAAACAAAATAATTTGTTAATCCTACGTTGAAAAGTTAATTGTAGATATGAAAATGTAGGATATTTCGGCCTTTCGCAACAATAAATCATATTTTAATTGTTGGGATAATTCTTCGAGAAAAATTATAGTATCAGCAATAGTTCAATTTATTTTTTATTATTGAATTTTTATTTGAGAATTTCCATTTTTATCGAACTATGAACTTTTCAACTTTCAACGTTCAAGGTTTTAATTAACAAATATATAGCACAATGTTGATTATAAATTGAACGATATCATTAATAGTAATTAAAACATTTTTTCAAACAATGAAAAAAATTAGAAGTAATTATACTCACCAGCACAAGCTCGCATTAGTTCGGAAACTGGTAACGGACATGATGATTCTCTACTTTTAAATTTCACTGGTTCACTGTGCATACGTTTCAATTTCTCACGTTTATAATTCACGTACTTTCCAAATAACAAATGATCCGAAAGCATAAATTCATCGTTCTCCGACAGTACCTGCAATAAAAAAATTTAATTTTTAATTTTTATTATTGAACTTTTGCTTGAGAATTTCCATTTTTATAATGAATGTATAAATGTATTTTATAATGAATGTTTTTATAATGAATTTAATCAAAACATTAGTGATATTATATTAAAATGTCATTTCTAAGATGTGAAACAATAAATAATATGTTAATGAATTGTACAGATGACCTCATTAGGTCATTTATAAATTCATTTATAATTTTCGAGAAAATAATTGATTGAATGCACAATTGATTTCGTTCGTATTCTTGTGCTCTTACAACTACAACTAAGAATTTTTGAGAAAGAAAAAAACGGAAGGTATAGCTTGCATTTGATTTAATTTTTCATCCCGAAATTCCCTGACTCATTTAATCTAATTTTCATCCCGAAATTCACTGATTCATTTAATCTGATTTTCATCCCGAAATTCACTGATTCATTTAATCTGATTTTCATCCCGAAATTCACTGATTCATTTAATCTGATTTTCATCCCGAAATTCCCTGATAAAATGATTATACGAGAATTAACAGAATTAACTAACTCTCTTTCTTCGCATTCAAATATCATCCGATGGGAATTTCGGAAGAATACAGAGATCGTTGAAAATTTTTTAAAAGTTTTTAAAATTACTGCAACGAAGAATATTTCGCATAGTTTTTCAACAGAGATGCTATACTTACCGCATTTTTCTCTTCATTAACGTAGACTTGTTCGGAAATATTTTCGATGGACCTAAATTAATTACCATTGTTATTTTTGAATATAGAGAGTATCACTTTACAGAATTAAAATTTATTTCGTTTCAAAATTTTTAAGGTCAAATAAGAGATTTCTGATCACAAAAATGAACAATAAAGAATGAAATGAAAAAATAAGAGCAAACATTCTAAAAATATTCGTTATTTAAAAAATTACATCACTTAAAAATTTAAATAATTTGAATAACCTACGCAGAGTAACGTTTAGGATATATAATTTGAGCACGTTTCAAGCACTGATAGTTCACGTCAGCAAAAGGTGAAGTGAGAACTGTTACCTGAATATAAAATAATAGGATCAAAACGTATTAACTCAAATACTTTCTACAAAAATATGACAGTGAAATTTTTTTAGAAAAATTTACTGAAGAAATGGCTTGTTGTTATTTTTAGGAATCATTGATACAAGATTGAAAATGATAATTCTTAACTACTATATAACATTCCCATACAAATTCTTTGAATGATTAAATTAATTAATTTATTTATTGATAAATATGGCAAGAAAAATGATCAAACTATCAATCATTTGTTTATTTAATTATTACAGATATATTATTATCCTCACCTGAGCTCGGCATGCATTCAGTCCATCCCATCGTTTGCATATTGATTTTCGAATAGTAATCATTCGTCTAGTTGGTTCTTTTACTACTATTGAACATGTTGTATGTTTCCTGAAATCTAACTCATTAAGACATATAACACTAACAGAATTATGTAATAATGACTTCATTAAAAAGAATATATAATATTATTAATTTAATATTAAGGCTAATCTTACCTTTTTATTTTGATAATATCAAGCGCGCCTTTCATTGATCGTGTTCGAGATGTAAATGATGCATCGAATTTGATCGCAGTATTAATTATCGCTAACAATTTTTTGTCCATTTTGATAAGTCTAAGTATAATCTCTCAATGATCTATTTTGATTAGAGTTTTAGAACAATTTTCAAAAGAAACCTAAATTCATACATAATTCTACAAAACCAAGCAACGTAATACTATCACTTGATTTTGCATGCTTCCCGCATTAGTGAAATTATCTCTCTCATTGAAAGATATTAGTTTAAAAAAATATATCATAAGATCAGAAATTAGTATATTTGCAATATGTTAAAATTTTCATGGCTAATTAAAAAGTTTTTTTACAGAGTAATCAATTTTATTTCATAGGAAATTTATTTGATGATAAACATTACTAGAGATGAAAACAAAAGGTTTCGTAATATAATTGGTATAAGAATGTGAAATCCATGAAATTATTAAATTTGAAAATGTTACTGCAAATGAGGTCTACCTGGAATATTTCTGACCGATAGAAACTTTTTCGTTGTTTGCAATTAACGACTGAAATGCACAACTTAATGCAATCTCAACTGATCGGCATGGTTTTAACTTAGTTGCATGAATAGTCACTGCTGGTATTATACAAGAGATGTATTTCGTGGTAATAACCCCAAGAAATTTCTCATTGCTGCATGTTTCGTTTCTGAAATTTTCTTTGAAGAATCTTGGATAGCCTAACAACAATAAACATACAAAAGAGTAAGATAACTTCTGAGATGAATTAAATTCACAGGTAATAAAATAAAAATAAAAATAAACCGTTGCAATCGTTTATTATGGCTAATATTCACTTCATGATAATCAGGACCACTCCATGTACCTGGTACTGGTGCTGGAGATTTTGATTTCGGACGCCTCGTTTCCTCTGAAATTTGATATAGAATATACAACAGAATTTCCTTTATCTATTTCATGCAATCTAATTGACAAAAGAACTAATTGATTAACTAAAATGCCAAAAATAAAAAATAGGATGAATAAATTTGAATGAAGTATAAAAGATCGCCTAATATTTAAATCGAATAAAGATAACAGTCTTGCTTTGTGATATATAAATATCGAAAAAGCACTTCATCGATATTTATACATCAATTTCATCGATGTGTATACATCACAAATTTACATTGATTTTATTTACTAATCGCAATGGTATTTCAACAATCAACAAGAAAGAGTCTGTCGTGATTCGGATAAAATAGCGTATTGTATAAAAACAGTGATCTGACCAGTCCTTGTAATGGACAATGACTAATTTACAAAGAGACAAAGAGATGTACGAAATGGATCGTTGATTACATTAGGACTATAAAATAAATCTACAAAGAATGAGCTTAATCTTCATAATGCTATAAAAAGCAATAGCTAATATTGATCTGTTAATTAAGATTTTTAAAATGGAATTAAATTATTTGATGATAAGTTGTAAAATATCCCTAAACTATGCGATATTGATTAGACTACGGAAAAAATTTTGCCTGAAATTCATTTCTTCATATTTTTGCACATAAAAAGCAATATAGCTATGGAAGTTAAATTTCAGTAAAATATATTATTTATCTTAGTGAAATCAATTCAAAAAGAGCAATGATATTGAATATTAGAATTTAAGAAAGATAAGATTGAAAGACGACCGTTGACTAGTTTCAAGCTAAAATTTCTCTTATAAAATGACATATGTACACACACACACACACACACACACACACACACACACACGCACACACACACACACACACATCCTTTCTGCATCTGTTAAAAAAGCAAAACGATTTCGTTATCAACGACTAGCTAATCTGATTATATTTTCCGCCTTAATCAGCCGCCAAATACTGCTATGTAAAGTAGAAGATACAATCCTGTTTCTTTCAACGTTGATAATTCACTTCTGAATACTTTACAAACAAATGCTTCTATATCTTTTCTCCTAAGTTTTACTTCAAAATCCTACTCACACGTGCTAACACAAAGAGAAAGAAGTGGAGCCATATTTTCATCATAAATGCGATTATATATTTTTGTTGATACTCTTTGACAGAATTGCCTAACTATTAAATTTAAAAATATTATTTTAAGTTAATAACAATGTAATTATAAGGCTCGGAATAATAATCTATTAATGGAACAAAAACTTATAGATTCTTCATTAATTTAGAATGAAGAGTTAATGATAGGTTATGAAATACCACTTGAATAAAAAGCAATACAATTAGCCAAGAGGTAAAAATAGGAAAAGTGAGCAATCGTTTCAATGCTATTTCAATCGTCTATAAAACTTTTACATTAATGAGATTATCACTATGACATTTCGCACTGCTGGCTTGCATGATGACCATTAAATGACCCAAATATTAGGCAATAGCCAAATATATTATTCTTATATTTTTAAAAACTAAAATTATTACTCACCAAGGTAAACGTTTTTAAAGTGAAACGTTTTTGAAGCAATTAGAGAAGCCAAAAGTAACTGGGTTAAGAATTTTAAATGATAACATGATCAGGATTGTCTACTAAAGAAATTTAGGCCTTTCTGAATATAGGAAGAAAATTTTGTCAGTGAAATAAATCCCATTACCCATATAT